GGAGAGATCTCAGGAGACGCTGCTGTAGTGAAGCAGCTGAACATAATGTTTTATTAATCAGACAATTAAGTTCATCATAAAGCATCTAAATGCTGCTGCTCATTGTGTCCCAAAGCCCTGCAAACCGGGTCCAGACATGCCTGTCACATGTGTCGATGTTCACCGTTCAGAGGTCATCCTGGTTAGAAAGAACTAGGAACTTGCCCAGTCCCCTCCCTGGGTAGTCTGCCCCCTTTTATGATGCCTCTGAAGACTGAGCCCATAAATTCTTCAGAAAGTGTTTAATCAGGTGGCTTCATAAGGGAGCAGAGTATGATTTTCCCTTAGACTTCTATGCAACCAGAAGTCTTTTTGCAACCATGGGAGTCGCCCCTGCCGCCTTTGCAGGTGCACATTGGCTTCACTATTTAGGCCTAGCTACATTTTTGTCTTTGGTACAGTATGTGTTGTTCTTAATTTCTAAACTTGATTAATTTGCTCAGCTTACAGGAGGTTTTAAAAATTTATCATCGAATTCTTTTCATTTCAGCTTCTTTAACCGAGCCCATAAACTCATCACCTGTTTTAGCTTCTTTGACTTTTAGCCCTGTGACTGCCTGGCGACCTGTCAGGGTGTACCCCGCCTCTCGCCCAGTGGTTAAAATAATAGCCGCTGCTCCTCTTTTCATTGATATCGATTTATCTTTAGGTTGGTTCAAATGTAATATTGCTTTGCTTTTCTTTGAATTGGATTCGATTGCCTGGCAGTACGTACACACAATGATGATTTCCATTCTGTGTGACTGCAGAGCATCATGGGTAACGCTGAGAGTGTGGTGGTGCAGAAGCGGCTGGCCCGTTTCCGTCCCGAGGAGCGACCCGTGGTTGAGGGGGTTTTTGACAAGCTCCAGGGTGGTGCTGGGGGTGCCGCGGGGAAGACCATAACGCTGGAGATGCTGCAGGTGTGACTGTGGAAGCAGTACTAAATATTTTCAAAATAAGACTTAAAAGTGTGTCAAGATGGAACAGGTAAAAGCCTGAATAATAGTTTCTATGTAGCATCACGACTTCATTACATCAGGTTTCACATGTTTTAAGCAGTCCAGTTTTCCATTTGTACATCTTGAAGCTTTTCCTATCAGGCAGGATTTGTTTTTGTGACTATGATGCTTTCTGTCACCGGGTTTCTTTAAACATTTTGTTTCTCCCAGTCATCAGTTGGCAGCGTGGCACCGGGCTCGATGGTGAGGAGGGTCTACCGGTGCATGTCCAGCATCGACCCTGGACTGGCAGCTCCAGCAGCCTCTGGGAAGGCCGGATACGCCGGCCCCTCTGGAGTCAGCCGAGAGCAGTTGATCGTCTTCCTTGCAGACACTCTGCGGGGAACTGCAGAAGAACGTGCCCCCCTCGTCATGGCCATGTCCCAGCATGCGGCAGGGGCGGCAGCGGTTGTCACATGTGAGCAGGTGGTGGAGGTGAGTAGAGTGTAGTGTTGGTTTCTGCAGCATTTGTTGTCTGTGCTTCTTACAGCACTCCTGCTCTTTCACTAAAGTTCCTCCAGGACCTGGTCTCTGCTGTGGTTCAGATTTTGGTCCACAGAGGACGCCTGCAGGGCTGGAAGCCAGAGAGGATGGGGGACATCTCCCTGGGTGTAAAACTCCTGGCAGAGCAGATGTGCTCTGAGCTCAAACCATCAGGTAGAGCTGATTTGGAAGTTCTTGAATATTTTAGAAACTCTGACTTAATCTACTTTAAATCTGCTACTTCCCTTTTTCTCATTAGATGAGGGGGCTTGTGA